TATTGTGATTTTTATTTACAGCCAACCTGTATTTCAATAAATAAATATTTTTTTTGTAACTATATTTTTGTGTTTATCTTATAAAAATTAAAATGCATATTTTTGCATATTTTGGTAAATAAAATGCATATTTTACAATTTTTTATTGCATACAAATCCTAGCCCTGGTTATTTTTATTAAAAGGGCCAATGTTTCTTATGCTGTAGACCAAATCAGATTTGACATTGGCCTTTTTGACAATAATGGATAAAATAATAATCAATTTACTATGGGGCTGTGTCGACATTGGCCACATATTATCTATAGCCACCACATTTCAAATTTCTAAATCAATTAATAAAGTTTATAAATGTAGAAGTTACTAACAATATTCTCAATTGAATGTTATTATTAGGTTGTCATAAAAAAGTCAAGTTCTTTAATTATTAAAAATTGTTTATTTTAAATTTTAGTTTTTGGCCTATGTCAAACCAAAGAAATTTTATTATATTTTCTGGAGAGCCAATGTCTAACTAAAACGTACGTATTTATACTAAAAAACAAAATAAGAGTCATAAAATGCAATAAAAACAAATGTAATTAAGTAACAGAACTTTTAGAGTTCCAATATACAATTTTAGAATTTTTATCTAAATTTTAAAAGTTAGCCAGTTTAATATTTTAAATTCCTGAACATTGTCAAATTATGACATTGAACCTTCTTGCACCAAGCCACAGAATTACAAAATTTGACTTCTATGATGATTAGATATTAAAAAAATTGAAATGAACATACTAACATTTTATTTTCGAGACTCAACCCAGATAGAAAATGTGTAATGATAATAATATAATATTATTGTTTTTACATTATAAATAATATTATTAGAAAAATAATGTTATAATTATATCACAATTACGTAATTAATATAATATTTTTTTAAGTAATCTATTAATACTTTTATTTTAATATTTTTTGTATACGGCATTAATAACGTTATTTAAAAAATATTATAATTAAGTTACTACTACAAAACTATTATAATATTTTTACTGTAATTAATTAATAATAATATTTTATTATTTTTAATATACTGTATTATTAATAATATTTTTAATAACAGTATAATAACAGAATAATATTATATTTGTGTTCATAGTAATATTCATTTTATTTATATATATATATATATATATATAATATATTTAGCTGTGCCATATAAATTATTTGAGTACTATATTTAGGTACCTTGTGGTTTGTGGTAACCTACCTATATTTTATAATATATACCCAGCTATTAGTGCTCGAAATTGTGAGTGGTCGCAGGCGGGGATGGAGTACTACATTTTATAGCGTACCCTTACTATAATTTTTAAGGGGAACTCAAGGGAAGCTTCATCATATCTGAAATTTTTTAAAAATACACGAGACACCATCATAATTATATTGTCTTAAGGTTTATTTCATAACCGTTAATATTAGTTAATATTAACTAATTATTAAATTATTACTAATAGCTATGTATTTACAATTTACTATTTACTTAATTATCATTTTGAGTTTGTTATTATAATAATTATTATTATCCTGTATATTATTGGGGGGTACGCCACTGAGTATAAGTATATGCTTATTAATAAATTAAGACTACATAATATTTTAGCTAATAACTATAATAAAAGGTTTTTCGTAGGTATATAAATAATCGTATACTTATATATTAAATTAGGTACCATCATGGTGTAATACACCAACTAAAATATGATACACCATGATATAAATATGATACTTATAAGTTATAACAATTATTTGTTATACCTATTTGTATTATTAAATATAAAAATGAATCTTATAAATTTAATAAATGGAAAAAATAAAATTTCATATTTATGACATTGAATTAGTGTTCCGATAGTAAAGAGGAATATCTAAATACTGCCATAATTTGGATACTATGTTGGATATGTACCTATACCAATGTGCTTATTAAAATTTATCCACATAAGTTTTATTATACGTAATATAATAGTCGTAGGTCGTTATAATTTCGTATAGCCGTATAGCCGTATAGGTTCGAAAATATTTAATAGGTACTCAAATATTATACATCATACGTGACACTTGCAGACTGCAGACCATGCAGTACACTATAATATACAGTAATATCGGACTGTGGTAAACGGTCGGTCAGTACGAAAAATATCTGTATACCTATGCACGAACAATAATATTCGTTTGACGTAGGTACTAAATATATTTTGCACGCCTGCGTCCTGCGATACACTTTATACGGGAAAAACTCAAATTTCCGAGACATTATTCAGTATTCACGATTGCATCATTTACATGTATTGCTATGTTATCAATCTAAACTTATAAATCCCAAACTAAATTGTAATAGGTAGGTAAAGGTAAGGTATAAGTATTATTATGTTATGAATTTATAAATTATAATATATACGATTTACGTATTCGGTATTCGATAATAATATTGTGATAATATCATCAATCATCAGTGTCTCAATTTAATAGTCCCACAAACGTACGCGGGTTTTTTTATATTCATTGTTAAGTTCGTATGCACCGACCGCGCCATAAAAATATTATCTGCTGTGTGCTGTGTCATGTACCTACTCATGTGTGCCAGCGTGTGCCGCCGCGTGGGGACAGGCGACTGCGGTGTGCGGGACAGCGGACTATCCGATATTCGAATATTATTCAATACACCCGTCTAAAATTAGTGGTAAAATTTATATATATTTCTAGGGTAAAACCCAAAACCATGGAAGTACAATTGATAATATCCCAACCGGCACCGACGGTCCGAACGACTCCGAACGACAAGTCACAACCTCTGAACGACTGAACGGCTCCAGAGTGTAGAGTGTATTACAGTTATTACAGTTGGTTTATAAGTTTATTTTATGCAAAAAGGTATTGGTGATCTGGTGAGTACTATTATCTATTATTTTTTAATTAAAATTTTTAGTTGTAAGAGTTTAGTCATTAGTCGGTCAATTTCAGTTTACATTTAAGTCTATTTTATATTACCTATTATTTATTTCGTTTGGTCGTAGTTTAAACTTTAAGATTCTTAATACACAATATATTATATAACTAGGTAACGGCTCAAAATTTATCTTCAAATATACATTTACTATTTTTTGATAGGTAGTTTATCTTAGACTACAGCTAGTTTTCGGGCTAGGTAATTTTTATTTAATATCACACTTTGACTATCAAAATAAGAATCATTATTCATTATATTATTGAGCCAAACTTAATTTTTCCAAAAATCAAACACTAATTTATTAAATATTATATATTAGTTTCTAGCAAGCATGATAATACAGTTGATATAATATACTAAGTTACCTAGATATTTTTATTATGCAATAACAATGCGTGAATACATAACCTACAAATATTTGGAACTATATAATATTTTATCTTTTAAATTATAGACCATATAATTATTATAGTTATGGTCGTCATGTCATGTTTATTCATAAATTCTTAGTTAATCTAATAATCATAATATAACCCTCGTATTAGGTACCTATATCTAATATTTTAAGTTTCCAAAATACAAGTACCTACCTAGCAAAATTATTTGTACCTTCTAGGGTAGGTACTAAAAAACTTATTATAAATGTAATCTTAGTAGGGTAATTATACCGATTATCTGATAACCATAACTTATAATAGTAAATTATTTTATTAAAATGTTTGGCAATACACCTACAAATATTAATAGTTGAGTACCTATTCATGTTTAAAAAAATATTGCTGACATTAATTTAAAGCAGTCCTAACCTATTTATTGTTTATGTAGTTCTTTTTAAAAAAATATTTTTAAATTTAAAGTAACTATTTGATTGTTAATTAATGACTGGGATTGCATATAAAACTGAGAATTTTATAATCGAGTTAAAATTAAATTCAAAATTACCATGGATAGGTATAATTTGAGGATGCTATAGGTAAATCCACATGTGCTGACTTCATCTTATAAATGTTCACATAATTTGTACACTGACTAATCTATAATATCTGTTATGTTTAATATTAGAGTGAATTTACCTATTATTAAATTTCAATGTACCTAAGAATATTGTCTAGTGAATTTTATAGGTTATTGGTTATTTTGTACATTTTAAAATGTTTATAACTCACTTTAAAATTAAAATATAAATATAACCTATACAATTCACCAGCTAATATTCTTACTTTAAAATTTGACTACAGGTCTATTCACTCTAATACTAAATATAACAGAATTCAATAAATTGTCCGGAACATAGAATTTGCTGTGTTATGACTTATGAGTTTGTAAGATAGATACTATACCTACGTGTGGATGTAATGTAATTTTATGTACCTTTATAATAATTTATTACCCTTGGTAGTTGTTTTTTTTTTTTTTTTTTTGAAAATCTAAACACATTTATTTAGGTATGTAATGTATAAGTTATTAAGTTCATTTAATTTATTTTGCAATTGTAGGTACCTTTTATTTTAATTACAAAACATAAATAGGTAAATAAAAAATAATGAATGACAAATCGACAAATTATTTCTTAATGCTCCAATTTTTAAATTTTGTTTTTGTTCATATTATGTATTAGGTATTTAGGTATTCTCGAGGGTATTCTGGTATTCAGCTAAAATGCTGTAAAAAATTAAAAATAATATCTAATAATGCATACATTTTTTAAGTAAGGATACTATATTATCTTCAAAAGTCAACTAGTTTAATTTTATGAATTGGTTAGTTATAAGCATTGGTATTTGTATAATGTTTAATTATTAAACAATTTACATTTTAATAAATATTTTTGTGATTTGTAGTCAATAGTTATTTTATTAGGTACTTAAATAATTTAAATTTTTTTTGTTGGTACATTTGACTTATAAGACTAGTGTTGTTGGTAACAAACAGTTGAATGTAATACCTACCATTTATTATTTATTTCTAATATTTGATTTTTTGTAGAAATACCTGTTTAAATCTATACCATGAAGAAATCCGTCTCTCTCAGTAGTCGGACAAAGAGAAGAAAAATTAAAGAAGAGTTAGACTATTTCAATCCTCTTTCAAACACCTACAACCATCATATTATTCCTCAACAATTATTTTTGAAATCTAATCTACTTAACGAAGTACCAATTTATAACTCAAATTCACCCAACTGTCAGGATAATATTTCATTTACAACAGTAGATAGACTTCCAGAAGAATTAAATGAATCACAAAATTTTGATTTCTTTAACTACAATATTGATTCTCTTCAGAGTTCTCTTCCTACAGACACATCTGACACTGATGATTCTAATAACTTATTATCTAGTACATCATTTATGATAAGTAATGAATTAGCTCAATGGGCAATACTTTACAACATTTCTCATATTTCCTTAAATGCTCTTTTAAGTATTCTTCGAAAACATGTGTTAAAGACCACTGTTAGATTGAAAACATCGAACACAACACGTTTTATACGTATGTTTAAACAACACATGAATGTTTTATTACATTGCCCAAAAGTAGCAAGACATTATTACAAACTAAACCCATTTCTTTAGAAAATATGCGGGTCGTCGATCCTGGTAAATACTACCACTTTGGTCTTAAAAATGGAATTGTTTGTCATTTACCATATTATAATAATTGTATTTTAGAGCAAGAATTAAAACTTGTTATTGGTATTGATGGACTTCCCATTCATAAAAGCTCATCTCTACAGTTTTGGCCAATTTTGGCTTACAAGACCAAAATCTGATCTCGTTTTTCCTGTGGGACTCTACTGTGGGAACCAAAAACCTTCAGACAGCAATGACTACTTAAAAGATTTTGTAGATGAAGCAAAATATTTAGTATTGAATGATATTCAACTGAAAGATAAACTGTACAAAGTTAAAATTGATGCAATTTGTTGTGATATGCCAGCAAGGTCGTTTGTTTTAAAAATTAAATCCCATACTGGATATAATTCATGCCCACGATGTGAAATTGAAGGAGAGCGTATAGAAAATAGAACTGTTTTTCCTTATTGCGAATTACACAAAAGACCACCAAATAGGACACATAATGGTTATACAGACAAATTAACAAATGATCATAATTTGCCCAATACTGATATCTCTATACTTATTGAATTACCTATGTTTGATATTATCAACGACTTTTCTTTAGATTATATGCATATGTTATGTCTTGGAGTGACCAAAAAACTGCTTTTTTTATGGATGAATGGTCCATTAAATGTACGCTTGCCTTCATGGAAAATTAGGGAGTTATCAGATTTAGCTATTAACTTAAAGTCAGACTTTCCTTGTGATTTTTCAAGAAAACCAAGAAAATTTGAAGAAGTAGCTCGATTTAAAGAAACAGAATTTAGATCGATTTTAATATATTATGGTTTTGTTATTTTAAAAGATATTATAACTGATGATTGTTACAAAAATTTTAAGGCTCTTAGCATAGCAATGACAATACTTCTAAGTCCTCAGCATGTTTCTTTAAAACAATATGCTCATGATTTGTTAGAATATTTTGTCAAGTCCTTTGAACAAATATATGGCCAAATGTACATGGCACCAAATATTCATGGCTTACTTCATTTGATGGATGATTATGATAGATTTGGACCTCTCGATAATTGTAGTACGTTTTCCTTTGAAAACTATATGAAAGTATTAAAGAGTATGATTAGAAAACCTCATAAACCATTGGAGCAGGTTATAATACGATATAAAGAAGGAGAAAAATCAACCAGTAATTTAAAAAAAAAATGTAATATTATAAACAATAATGAAGGATTATTATTAGGACCACATAACAAGGGACCTCTGATAAATAATTTAGTGACGGATCCACAGTTTAGTACATTAATTTTGGGAAATTACAAATTAAAAACCAATGTGGACGCAGACTCATATTTTTGTACAGTTAATAATGAAATTGTTAAATTAATTTATATTGCACATTCAACAAACACTGGAAATATAGTTTTAATTGGCAGGAAATTCAAGGAAAAAACAGATTTTTATGTTCATCCTATTAAATCATCACATTTAGGAATTTTTTCTGTTAAACATTTGTCTAAAAATTTAATGTGCTGGAATGTTAAAGATATTAAAAAAAAAGTTATGATTTTATTTTACAAAAATGAACAGATTGTTGTACCCCTTTTGCATGACATTTAGAAATTATTAATTAAACATTTATTTTAAATTAAATTTTCCAATTTTTGTTTGTTTTAGTAACATGTATATATTTAATAATTCTTAGTTAGGTATATATTTTATAAACTTATTAATTTTTTTAAATTTAAATTTTGTATGTGTAAATATATTAGGTAAATGTTTAGTAACTAAAAGTAAATATAAATATGAAGATAAGAAAATATGTGAATTGTATGATTTTTGGTTGGTGATTCAAAATATAATAGGTACCTATTTTTTTTTTTTCATTGTAATATTAAATGAACTTTTTTTATAAAAAATAACCATAATAATGTATTAATTTAAATATGTTTAACTGCAGATGCTTATTGTAGTAATAACACATTATAGCTATATTGTATAAAAAAACAAAATATATTAAAATTACTATTATTACTGATATTTAGAACCACGCTTTTAAATACTTTTAATAACTACATTTTTTCAGTTTGTATAAATATGTGGTCAATAGTATTATTTGAAAATGAAAATACTGTCGAAGTCGTTCCAGCACACTGGGTTAAAAATAATGTTTGTGCCTGGCCCAAAAAAGATGTAAAAAAAAATGTTGAACGCGGAGTATTAGCCAACAAATTTGATTTCAACTATTTTGTATCAAGAACGTTAAAGAAAAATATTGGTAAATTGGCTATTATTATTTTTACTAACATATTATAATTTATTATATTTCATACTTATTATTAATTATTTAGTTTAATAATCATTACTGTCATTAAAATAAAAAAAGTCATTATTCTAAATATATTGCATTTCTAAATATATATAATAATTCCTAATTTTAATTATTATTTTTTAGCTACTCTAACAGAAGCTAGAGCGAAACTGAAAAAGGCCGAGTATACTTCAGACTTATCTACTTGTGATGATGAGATTTCAAAATCTCGTGCAGGCAAATCAAAAGTAACAGATCCGCCAATTTATTCCTATAACAAAAGTATGTTTAAAATTGACTACTTATTTAATTTATTTAATTTGTTAGTTTAAGTTGTTACAGTATATTTAGGTTATGCTTTACAACAGAGCATTTGAATATTGTAATTATAAATTCAATACATTCTTTTTTACACATCAGAACCTATAAAATAAAAATATGATTGTATTGAAATAATACTTCATTTATTTACACAATTTGTGTACATTTTGGAAATTATGAATTATGATAAACATCTTATACATTATACAGGTGTTTCACCCAAATCTAATGGTACAAAAAAGGATACTCATGAAACTACATCACATAGTCACAGCTTAGGTCATTTAACATTTAAAGAAAATAAAATTCTCATAGTATTAAATCATTTCATCTCCTAGTCAATTAGGTATATATTGTAATTAAAAATTATATTATGTTTATGTGTATATACTCATTATTTATTATAAATGTTATAGATGTTGAAAGCAAGCAAGGTCATAAAAATAAATTTGAATCAAACAGTATAAATGCAAGTTACAGTTTACCTTTTAATGCAAAAGGAAAACTATTTGATAGAAACTCATCTCCTTCATCTCCTAGCCAATTAGGTATATATTTTAATTAAAAATTATATGTTAATGTACATACACATTATTTATTATAAATGTTATAGATGTTGATAGCAAGCAAGGACATAAAAATAAATATGAATCAAACAGTAAAAATGCAAGTTACAGTTTACCTTTGAACACGACACCTTTAAAAGCAAAAAGAAAGCTTTTTGATAGAAACTCATTCAGTCCTATTGCAGGTATTTTAGAAAATTCAAATAAAACATTATTTTACTTGTAAAAAGATATATTTTAGTTTTACTCTGTGAAATTATTTAATTTAATTGTATTTAATCTTTATACTAATTATAGCATTACCTCGAGAGCATAATATTAATACATCAAATAGACATGATCATGAATCTGATGTAAATAATTTGTCCGTATCAGTAACTTCTATCAAAGGTAAATATAAGTATAAAATTATAGTTTATTTAGTTTGTTTAATTCACTTCTACAATATTCAAAAAACACATTTCTATTGATTATTGTTTGATTATCAGGTTCTAAAATTACACGTGAAAAACATAATTTGCTTAACATATCTCGGAGTGAATCTGAAACATCAAGTCCAAAAATTTATAAATTGAAGAATTTTTAAAATAAAACTGAAATTTTAATTGTAATATTTATAGGCACAAATTATTTTTATACTAATAATGTATGTGTTATTTAAGATATAGTATATGAGTCTAAAAGAGCACCCATTACTGAAATTATCCACACGTCGTCATCTCCTTTTAAAGTTTCCGAAGCTAATTTACAAGATGATTCAAGTGATTACCCAAATTATGAATTACTGGACTTTATAAAACTTAGTTATTAATAAAACATATTATTTTTATTTATTAACATAATGTTAACTTCTAATTTTTTGTTATTTAAAATTAAGTTTCGTTTTTAAATTTGTTTATAGGTGTCAATTTACTGCAGTCATCGTTTAAAAAGGTGTCTAGTAATACACAAAACACACTCAAATTAAAAAATAACTGCTTATCACAAACTTCTGAATCAAATGGTAGATCAACAATGTCTATACTTAAAGTATATTAACTCTGTGTGATAATCTTATATTTAAAGAGCATCATATATCGTGTTTGTTTCAGATATAATGAATAAATTTTTAGAGTTGTGTTAAAAATAAAATTCGATGTAGAGACAATTGCACAAAATCAACTTCAAATAGACAAAACATTGACTGAAACTGTGCTTGGAGCAAATAAAGATAATGAAAAATACTTCTGAGAATATTGAATATGATTCATTACTACCTATTGAAAATGAAGATCAATTAGATGAATTTGAGACAAAGTTGTTAAACAAACATTTTAGAAGAAATGTTGTAAGTAATTTTGCAGAGTATATATTATTAACAATTAAAAAGTATTATAATATAAAAAATATATTTTTATATAGTTATAAATTAATATGTATTGATATGACTAATATTTATATATTCTTTATTATGCGTATTGTGTGTCACATAGGTTAATGGCCTCAAATGTTTAGCAAAGAAGACTTAGCAGAACTGTAAGGCAAATGCTAAGAAAAATTTTTGAGGATGATATCTTGCAAATGTACAGCTTTGTTGGACAGAAAAAAAAAAATTTTTTCTTTTAGGTTCATGCTCTATAATTATTGGTAAGAAATTGTTTAGATTATGTTAAAATGTGTGTAATAGTTAGTAGTTATAGTTATAGGTTCGACCAACTTTATAATAATTAGCTTATATAATAATTATCATTTAGTCATTATTAACAACCTGGTTGAGGTGTTATTTTACTTTCTATAAAAATACATTTTAATAGTTGAACATATTTTATGTAAACATACACTTTTAATAGTGAATTTAACCCCAACAATACATACTCGATAGTTTTTTTTCCCTTCCATAATCAATGTTAAAATTTCCGTTGAATGATTTTCTAAATGACGATATTTTTGAACAACCATTTAATTAACTTACTGAAATAATAAACTGATATGACGATTATATATATTTGGATAGGTAGTTTCATCAAATTATTTTATATAATATATGATTTTTTATACCCATTAATTTTGTAAATATTATATGTTTTGAAATATATTTAAAATTTTAAAATTATGTTGATCATCTATTATTATTTTATAAGTTCTTTCAATAAATTTCTTAGTTTAAAAAGCTACTATTTATTAATTGTATAGGTCATATTTATTTTTGTTTGTAAATGACCATTATTGTGAATTATTGCCATTTATTATTTTATTAATATGTGATTATTTATTGTTTTCCATGTTAGAAGCTGTAAGAAAAATTAAAGCATTCGAAAATGTAACCAACTGTGAAATTGAGGGACCAATGAAAATCTACTTAGCCGGTGCGGCATTTCGGAAGAAAAAATAGTACTATTGTAAATAAGGCTCACTTACAATATATACATATAATTATATGTACACTGCATTTTAGTTGCTATACATATATTTAATAAAGACACATTATACTAACATATTATTTCATGTAGTTTTTTTTAATTGTATTACCTATTTTTTTTCCATCTATCTATTTTTACTGTTACTGGTAACTGTTCTTATTTTTCTTGCTTACTTTCTTAAATATTTACATAGTTAAAATATCTGCAGAGGGTAAATTATTTTTAAAATTATATAAACTAGCAAACATCATAATTATAACTTATAAGTATAAGTTATAAGTGACTAATATAAGCCCAGATATTACATAATTAATTAATTGAATATCATAAATTAATATTAAAAAGTTATTAATTTATTAGATTCCACTATAAAAAGTTGAATTACAACTAATTTGAAAATTGAAAAAGTAGTTACAAAACAATTTTAAACTCAGTTTTTTAGCTTTAAAATAATATTTTTTAGCTGTTAAAAAAATATTATGTTTGTATTATTATTATATTATTATGTTTGGAACGTTATAAAAATAATCAAACCCCGGCCAAAAAATAATACTAAAATATTATTAAAAGAATATTTTAATGGCGCAATAATTAAATTGTAATGATAAAAAAATATTAGTCATTACAAATGTAATTGTATAATAATGTTATTATGTTATGATTTTGCTATCTGGGAACTTACCTAGTAGGTAACTTTTTTTTCCAGGACTCAAATTATTTATTACCTTTTTTTCAGGGACCCAATTTACCGAGATAAGGTAATTTGGAACATAATTTACCAATCTCGCATAATATGTATCTAACAGTTGTCTTTTTTAAATTCAGTTAAATCACTGTAAAGTTTGTGATGATGATAAAATACTGTATAAAAATGTACATAGCTATATTATTGACTATCATTTTTCTGTTTACTGACTGTATATAATAATATTTCTATTATTTCATTATATTTTAATTTAACTAAACACAATAATCACCTTAAGATCTCATAATTAAATTTTATTATAGACATTTTATAAACAGATTATAAACAAAAATTAACCATACATTAATGTATAACTATATATTATTTGAACTTGAATTCTCTCTTAAAATAAATTTTATGTTTACGAACGTTGTCAAACTGGCTATAGTTTAAACGCACTATTTTGGTTTTTAATTGAAATTTTTTTAATTCTTGTTTGTTTTGCCTCATAAACATATTCCTTGATTGTTCTTACTTTTGCACATGTTAAAGATGGATTATGTGCTAAACAAAAATTACAACTCTTGTTATATCTGTATTATGTTTCTTTATTTACCAAACTTAGATCCATTATTAAAATTTTTTTTTTTCATCGTTATTTGTAATACAATTTAATTTTTAATTTTGCATAAAACATCTCTGAGTATTACTTTATAAATGGGTATGTGAATTGTCCATATATATCCATATAAAAAAAAAATAGAACATTTTGAATATCATTAATATAATATGAGTTATGATAACAGATAAAATAATATGGTTAAAAATTCTTTCATATTTAAAATAAAACAACTATTGCATGTTTAAACCCAATATTTTAACACATAAATAAACTTGAATTAACATATTATTTTTACCTTAAAAATAAAATGTTTCACTATTACATTATAATTTAAACAAATAAATAATGAACATTTTCAAATTTAGTAGTTGAATTATGAACATAAATTGATACAAAAAAATGTTAAGATAGGTATCTTACTATTATTACATTTTACCAATGTACCATAGGCGGAAATCAATCGAACCTAAGACGTGCTTCGTAATATTTAATTACTTTTTGTGGATACAGAAGATTTAATTGTTCTGCTAATATTATCTGAGGTTCTTCAATGTTTGCCCACTTAACAAGAAATGTTAAATTTTCGTCAAATTTAGTGACTCCTAAGATTTCTTCCATGATTTTAGTTTCCGAATTTGGTGTAGTTGTGTTATCATTTTCTCTGGAATAAAAATACATCAATATGTTAATAATAATATATCAAAATAGTTGTATAATTTATTTTAAATATGTTTGCTGCATTTTACATCAAAAAAGATCATGCAAATATTACCCATGGACCATTATGTTATAACTTCGTCAGCATAATAACTAAACTATTTGTTTTTTATACGCATCACCAATAGAAAAAATAAGAATTATTTCAGATAAATGTTGAAATCATAGGTAAGTAAATTAATATTTTTAATTTTAATTTAAGTACTTTTGTTTATTTTTTTAAAAATAAATAATTTAAGTTTATTCCACGAGCAGTGTTTGATACAGTAAACCATTAATTTCTATTGAAGCCTAGTTAGATTATAGTAGGGAGCGTGTCAAAAGCAGGAAAAAAAATGAACAGGAAAAAAATTGTTCCTTATGTTAAACAACATGGTTAATCCACATTAGTACATACTTAAAGTTGTCTTATCTAGGGACGAATGAATGTTATTAAACATAAATTTAAATTTAAATCATTGATAAATCAACAGTTTAAAATATAATTGAAACTATATACGAATATGATATACCACAATTATTGTTTGAAAGAAAATTATTGCTAAAATGCACTTTACCAACCCCTCACGATTTTCAATTTTTTTCAAACGATGATGTACATTTTTTACCGGAATTTTACGTCTATGTGCTTGCGAGCAACGTTACTTGACTGCAACGCGCAGCACTTATAACAAATTTTAATTTTTTTTTTTATAGGTAATCATTATCGTTTAGACTCAAGATGATTGCTTTTAACAACATTGTTGAATTCCAAGGCCTACCCAAGGTGAACGCTACAAATCGAGCTATATTTTCGATATTTGGTCAGAGCTCAGCGCAGTGAAGCACATGAAGCACGTGGCTTAGGTACACCTACAAAACTGAAGGGGCGCAGAGCAAGTATGGGATACGCTTTTAATGCTTTTATTTTTCGAAAATCTCCATTATTCACTGTCTGTAACGAGCTCTGACAGTGTGGAGACAGCGAGCGGAAACAATGAATATGGAGTGTAAAAACCTCGGTTTGAGTCTTCGGCAGGTAAATAAACGTGCATGTAAGTAAATATTAGTCGTTACTAACCTCACAGACATGATGGATGAATGGCTTGCGAATGAAACTGTGTCAATGAATCAATGTTCTGGATATTCAAATCGACTGCACGGCTCCCCGGAAAGTGAAGTATGTGACTGGAACAATGATGAATGCTTCAGTGGTTATGTAATTTGTTTATAAACTTCGAACTGGAAAAGACCAAACAACTATGGTTAATTGACATACAACTCAAACAATAGACTACGCACAGAAAGTGAACCACCGGACGTTATAACTTAAGCGCTGCAGTATGAAATGAAGTATGTGACAACTGGAACAACGACGAATGCTTCGGTGGTAATGTAATTTTGTTAGGAATTTCGAACTGGAAAAGACCAGACAACTCTGGACATACATTCAAACAACATACTATGCACATAAAGGCACTGTACCTCCTACGTTATGATACGTTACAAGCGTTCATTGGTCCCCCACCACTACACATCATCTTCTGTTATAACACCGCTACCTCAACACTACCCCACCTACTAAGCCAATGCCGCCGCCGCCGCCGCTGCAGCTGCTAAATAGTGGTTTTCATTATGGCATTACATGTATATACACCCCGTATATACACTATGACTATGGGCATATACAGGGTATCCCGTGAGGAAATAACCATTAGCCGGAGATGGGGACTCACCACCCGAACAAAAACGTGTTTTTTGCCATTTTACCTATAAACTAAAAAAAATATTAAAAATCATGAGATTAATGAAAATTAAATGTTGAAAAGTCAAATTTTTTACAAAAATAAACTCTATAAAATGGCTATCTTCAATTGTTTCAAAAATAAAAACAATTTTTTTAACCTTTTTTACCAAAACACGATGAATAACGATAAATATAATACTATCCATTATACAGTAGATAACCCATTTGTAACCTACTCTACAGCAGATCACCTTTTTTTGGTTTTTTTTGTCTATAATTTTAAATACAATTTTAGTTGTTGGTAAAAAAAGCGTATAATTGAATTATAATTGCAACGTTTTAAAATATTTTAATTTTTTGGAATGGCTAACGTATAATAGATATGTTTACTATATTCAACTATTGATAGCCATTACAATTGTCGATTTACGACCATCGTATTGACGAACACGAATTTTCGATGAAAACAATTGTAAAAAAAAATTTTAATTTTAGGTATTATACGTCTTGAGATTGCTATAAAATGCCGACTGGAAATACCGGCAAAAATATAATAATATTACCGGCAATCTTGGGGGTGGGCACCCTCCACTGCTGTAGGATTACCACATGATGACAGATGATGGATCTCGCAATTTCGGATTAATATTATTGTAACAATAGAGCCGTACCGTGTATTATATAATTTTCGTATCCATGGCCTATGGCTAAAAATATTTATTCTGTCAAAAATACTTGAATTCAATACAGGTACCTATGACTGTACGACAAAAAAAAATTAATACAAAATATAGTAATGTGTACACAATTACACTAATCACTAATAGTAAAAGTTCATAGTTAGCTTAAAATTAATCTAAATATTTTGATTGTGTCATTGTGATAGTTTTTAATTGTTCGTCATTTTGTTGAATTTTGTCAAAGTTTGAACTTTACAACAGTTATAAAAATAAATGTGTATATATATATTTGATATTTTTAACTCTAAAATCACAACTTATGTTGGATCATGTATTATATTTTTGAACTATTTAACTGAACTCAAAAACTTGCATTTCAAATATTTTAAATGAAACAATGAAAAAAATAAAATGCCTATAAATATAATCCAATTTTCTATCATAAACCATATTGAAAGTTGGAAATCAGGGTACTTTTACTGCTCCTAAAGGTGAGGGACTTGAGGGTGTATATATTTTGGGCAACGTTTTTCTTTTCTTGTCTGATATTCAAACACCAATTATTATGGCTTCAAGTCGTTGAAGGAGCTATAGGTACAGTGCTTAATTATTTACATTAAAATATTTATGTAGACCGTCCATCTCAGCGAACTGTAAATTATAACGACGGGTCTCCGAAAGAGATTCGTTTATTACACTATTATATGGTCATAATCATAACATTTACTATATCTATATTGCCTTTATTGCCTATATTTACGACTTACCAACCTGTATAACCTTCTAATAATATTCCATGCAAATATGCCACAAGCCCAGTGCCACACAACATAATACACATTTTATAATAATAATTTACAAATAAAATAATAAAAAAATTTCTCTATTAAATTTATGAGATTTGAGATGATAATGTAGACATTTAATATAACTAGGTACCTATCTAAGATATTTTAAATATTAGTGAGAATTTTAAAGGTGCGGTACACCATAAAATCGTGCATTATACAACGTTGGGAAAATATATCGGTGCCAGATAAGATATGCGATATGAGAAGATGGTATTTCCTTTTTGCAAATTTTAGATTCTGAGTGAAACGATGTGAATCTTACAATGATGTGTGTTTTTTTTTTATTTTTATTTTTATTTTTGTGTCTGTCATCACGTTTTAGGACAGTAAAAGTGCTTGGATTTTCTTCAACAGTATCTTTTGTGATAGGAAAGTGAATCTAGTTGGTACTTTGGGGGGGGTCAAAAGTAAAAATTTCCCAGTAGTTTTCACAAGCACCGGGAAAAACAACATACAAATTAAGGAAAAACGGGAATTTTTACGCAAAATAGGTTTTCCAAAAAATCGATTTTGGTTTTTGGTGTAACTCTAAAAGAAATGAACGTATCATACATGAAATTTTCACTGGTTGTTTATATTTGCATTTTATGTGCATGATAACATTTTAAAAATATTTTGATTTATTTTGAACTGTTTAGGGACATTTTCAATTATTAATTTTATTAGTTTTTTTTTTTTTTATGAATATCAATAAAAATGTATAGGTTGGTTAAAAAAACTTGAAAGTTTAATAGAGGGCTTCTAGTATATTGTTTCAAAGGCAGATGAGAAATATTAAAAATCCTTAACCACAGTTTTTTTTTATAAGCATTCAAAGTCCAAAAATTGACAAAATATGGAAAAATCAAGAAAATTAGAAAATTATTTTGAATTAAGAATTCGTAAAAGTTTTTCTTTTTAAATCTAAGATTTTAAAATGTAATACAAGATTCCTTATAAAATTATCTATATTTTTATATACGTTAAGAACACGACCGTGCTGCGTCCGTTTTCCTTTTTGCTCTAAACATCTGTCATACAGTCCCTTTAAATTCCTTTGTATTGTTCGAGAAATATGTGTAAGATGTATCAATAGGGGTGAATCGTATACGAACATCGATACGATGTCACGGCAGGTGGTGGAGCGGAGGAGGACATTTTTTTGGCAGGGTTGCCAACCGTCCTACATCGGGCAGGACCGTAGGTACTACAAATCCTACGTTTCATATTTTGTCCAATACATACATTTTACTGTTTTACGAAAATATCTATTTATATTTCATTATTTTTATTTTTAATTTCATCAATTTATCCTTATGAGGACTTGGCATCCACATATAATGTCTCCGTCTTACAAGTTCGAACATACCAAATTCACACTGAGCAGATCACGTTTTCCTCTGTTAGTTTAAAAATTAGAGTGAACCGACATATTATAAAACTTTATCTGTGTTTTTAGTTGATTTTATTTTACGAAAGTTCAACTTTTTAGTAAGTTATGCGTATATCATATTTCGTAAATTAAAAACGCTCATAACTCACTTAAAAACGGATCTAAAGTAAAAAAACACCACTCACAAACACAGATAATGTTCTCACCAACAAGTTTTATCATACCTCGATTCATTCTAATTTTTAAACTAACATGGTTAAACTTAATCTGCTGAGCGTAAATTGTCTTTGTTACGCTCTTGTGAGACGGAGACAACAAATTTGTTCGTATGTATACACATCATACAATTAAATTACATACCTGCAACAGCGTATTATACATCCATACATACAAATAGTTCATACTGTATCCAACCAAAAAATCTAAAAAATATATTAACACAGTTATTTTTTACAGACATTTTAAATTCAAATTTGGACGAAATTACATAATAGAAAACCTAGAATAACTATTTTAGTTATTTTGTTGTGATTGTATAATATTATTCATGGGTACTTGAAACTTCTAAAGTATACTACTATATCTATGATAGTATCAGGGTTTGTTGTTCATGTATTATGCGTTATAAGTACCTAATGGATATTGTGATACGATTAATTTGGAATTTATTATAGGTCAAATTTTGGTTTAGTACCATAGATTTGTACATAGTATGTCTTATACCTAGACTGACATACCGACTCCGCTCAGAATCGTTTTTCTTATACAATGATATTATATCGTTGAATTCAAATTTAATATCATCCATCAGTGACCCACTTGTAACCTACTGTACAGCAGAGCGATACCCACTTGCCCACCTTTTTTTGCTTGTAATTTGCACCACTAATAGGTACATTTAAGTGAGTATGTAATTTGCAACCAAAATATAAAAATTTAGCATGTACTTTCGACACGTCTAAAAATTAATTTTGGTAATTGACGAAACGACAGAAAATGAAATGGAATATTATGTAATCTGAGCCACACTTTCCACTTAAAATTTTGGAATTTACCATCTGATGAATTTTAATAAATTAAGACTACAGACAAAAGAAAATTGTTAGAAAAAGCTTAGTTTCGGCATAAATTTACAAGCAAAAAAAAAAAAAGTTAATAAGCTAGCCGCTAGGTAGGTACTATAAGTATTATCATACATTTATTTTATAACATATTTATTATTATTTGTTTTAGGCATGTAAAACTTGAATAACATAAAAAACAATTTAAAACAATTAAATATTATATAATATTAATCTGTTTAGTTATTTAATTTATTTTAAAGTGGCCAAAATTACAATTTTTGTAGGTAAGTACAGGATGGTTAGATTTACATAAATACATATTTTTTTTTTTTTTGGTGAATTTTGGGTTTTTTCAAATTACATACGCTCGCGATATAC